GAGGGATCAGTATTGTCTGAGCCCACCTGATGATTTGTTGGTGGCTGCTGTGTTTTATTGTAATGGTTATTGGAAAGCATGTGCTAGAAATTATTTTCATTGAAATACTTTGAAAATATATCTAGTACAAGTATTCTTCATTTAATGACCTACCTATTTAACAGGTCATTGGACTTAAAACTTAAGTGCACTATTAGGACCACTTTGGTTTACAACCCCTACCCCGTGGGATAGTTTTTTTTTTTTTTTTTTTTTTTTTTTTTTTTTTTTTGGTACACTGCTGTACATCTTTTTCATAGAGCGTAAATGACTTTTTTTCTGTGCAGCACATAGTGTATAGTATGACACTATACTATAGTTTTGCTGATCCTACTATACAATAGTTTTATGTTGTGTTACATGTTACAGTTCTGCCTGGGAAAATTACACAAAGGAAAGTCATTGAGTTGGAGTTTCCTTTGGCCATCTCTTTGTCGTGAATTTTGTAAGATACATACACTAGCAGTACCTTTATTTATGATCTTAATTTGTTTTATGATTTTGGGGAAGATAGCCATGGTTGTGTTTGTCACTCCATGTGGACTTCGCATGGAAAAGCAAAATTTTGCCAAACACTTGTAAATTGAAATGTTTGCTAACAGAAGCATTCTGAAGTAGTGCCGAATGTACAGCTTCTTAGAGACTTATTTAATGGCCTAGTCACAGGAGCAGAGCTTGGCCATTAAATGAAGTGTCTGTGTGAACTGATATTTGAAAGTTAAATCTACCTTCGTTCCTAAGATAAAGCCCATATGATCGGGAGAACTATAAAACACTCTGGTTTCCCAAAGAATTTTATGGAAGACCCTACCTCAATGACAGATCATTGAGACCAAAGCTGCTGGGATCCCTGTCCTTTCCTCTGTTAATTGAAATTTAGAAGTCACAAGTGTTACAGTGTAAGTCTAAAATGTCCCCCAAAGGCTCATGTTTAAGTCACTGGGGACATAACTTGTAATGGTATATTCATGTCCCTAAGTCCTCTGTCCTCTCTGCATCCTACCCACATGCACTGAACATCTTTTCTCTGCCATGCCATTTACATCTTGGAGCAAGTCGGCCTTGTACTCGGCACACTGAAACTGACCTATAATGTAGCTCTCCTTTTAAGCTATGCGTGTATTCTGTTCCAGCATTTGGGAGAGTGACTCAAGCAAAATTTGTATCAGGAGTGAACAAGATCGTTGCAGTGACTACCTGAGCTTGTAAATCAGAAGTCTCTGAAATTGCTTTGTGGGAAGTTTCAAAAACTTTGGGGTGTAAGCTAGAAATAGCCTAGAATATTGTGAGCCATACTTGATATGTGATCCAGGTCAGACCTCAGAACACCATAATGCTGATAACAATGCAGACAGTAAAAGGCCAGACTAAGGAGGTTTCAAACAGACTCCATTGGCAGTTGAATTAGAGGAAATGTGTGTTAAGCAAGAAATCTGTGTACATTTGTCCATACTCCTAAACTGAAAGATGCAAGATGGCAAGCTGTTCCAGCAGAGGAAATCTTAAGGGCAGGCTACCATTCAGGCTGAGTACTGCTGGCTGCTTTTGGCCAGGTCAAGAGCATATGACAGCTTACAGATTTAGAAAGTTTGGTTTTGATTGGAAAGGAGACCCCTGCAAAGATGGGCAAAGGAGAGGATAGTTGCTGATGGGTTAGCATCAAAGAGAAGCCAAGTACTTAGTGCAAACAGGAAGGAAGATACCTTGAAGGCATTTCAGAAATCAAGAACCCTGGCTGGGGATGTAGCTCAGTGGCATAAGCGCCTGCCTTGCAAGCAGGCAGTCATGAGTTCGATCCCCGGTACCGATAAAAAGGAGAAAGACAAAATTATTTATCAAAAAAAAATGTGTAACACAAAAAGAAATGAAGAACCCCCCCATCACAGGCTCAAAGGTACAAAAAACGTTTCGTCTGAGGAGTTGCTGCCATAGCTGCTCAGTCAGAGCTGCCATCCAGTGTATCTCCAAGCATAGCCATCCAGGCACTCAGAGGCTACTGCAGCTGTAGTCCAAGGAGGCCAAGCTAGTGGCCAACCTGGTGCCATCCACATCATGCTGGCTTTTCAGGCACACCACATGGAAGCGAACTGGGGATCATGGATGTTTCCAGCCATATTTCAAAAGGCTTGGGAGGCCAGCTCACCCCGCCCTCCAAAATGCATGATGGTTACAGACCCTGCCAGGAGCCCATGAGGGAAAAATGTGTGAGGATAAAACCAAATACAGTAGTGGCCACTCCGGATAGGTGATGCCTGTTACCCTTGCCACTTGGCCACTACTTGGTAAGCAGTGTTTCTCCTCCATGCTGCCACGCAGTTTGTGCCGTGGGGCCACCTGACCATGGACTGAAAGCCCTGAAACTGGTCTAAAATAACGTCTTAAATTACTGGTCTCGGGTATTTTTCTCCTAGAGACAGAAGAGCAATTATGTAGAGATTCCCATTAATATACATTAACATGTTGGCTTTTACATGTCACTGTTGTTTCCCTCGTGAGAACCTGTCTGAAGCAGAGTACTCGTTGAGTATTTACTGTACAAATGAACAATACTTAACCATTAGTTCACATAGAAGAATTTTCAAATACATTCCATCATGAGTTAATGATGGCCTGATTATATGAAGGTAATTGTTAGTCTTTCTGTTTTTTATTTGGTGCTGAGGATCAAACTCAGGTCCTGGTACATGCCACCTGAGCTCTCTACCCCTGAGCTACATCTTTGGGTCCCTTCTTATTGTTCTATATCCATGTTTAATATTCTTGGTGGAAGTATCAAAATTAGTGAACACTAGATAAATATTGATATGTGTTGTAAATATAAAACTATCCAGGAGGGATACAGCTAAACAACTTGTGTGACTGCAGAAAAGTTTAAACATAGTGAACATATGCTTTAGAAATTAAAACATCTGAGCATGAGATCTTTCCATTTAATCCTCCACTAATGGAATGATTGGAGATGCAACTTTGTGAACTTGAAGGAAAACAACTGTAGTTAAATACTAGTGAGTAAGTCTAGGGAGGCAGGTTCTGTAAGGAAAGCATGCCGCAGTCATTTAGAATTCTCAGTGAAGTGTACTGCATGTTATTTGCCTTTGGAGCACTAGAGGGTGGTGGTGGTTCAGATCAGCGCAATGCAGACAGTTGTAACTGAACCAAAAATGCCAGCCAGAACCCAGATACCCTCTTGGTATTGTTACTCATGCCCTCAAAGTCTCTTGTCTACAAAGTGAATAGCTGCAGAACAAATTTACGACGAAAGAAAATGCTGAAAAAAGGAAGTGTTACAACAGAAGACCTGGGACACAGCATATTTGACATTTGATGACAAGGTGGATACTGGAGGCTTACATTCTTGGCTGTTACATGACCTGACCCCTTGCAGTCCTCATGAAGCCCACTTGGTTATAGGATGCAGAGCAATGAAGAATTTTAATGAATTAAATATTTGTAAATAAGAATAGAATGGAGAAATTACTACCTTGGCTACATGAATCCTGAAATGTTCTTAAATTTTTAAATACAATTTTATTAAGTGCAGAAAAATTTAAGTTTGATATGGACCTTCACCCAAATTTACAGATAATCTAAGAATAACCAGGCATCATTTTTAAAAACGTCTTTATTCTGGAAAAATACTTTCCCAAATATGAATTTGAGATTGATTAAAAATAAGACAAAAGTTTAGGGAAAAGAAGTAAATCACATTACTATTTCTTCCAAGTTTTTATTGTAATCGTGACCTTTTTTTTTTGTACGGGGGATTGAACTCAAGCCCTCGTGCTTGCCTGGCAGTTGTGCCTGCTGAGCTGGACAGCTGGCCTAATGATGATATTTTAATAAAACAAAAATGTAAAAAAACAATCTTGTGATAACTGCATAAGAGCAGAGAAGGGACGCAGAGTTTCGGGTCCCATTCTCATTTCTCCCCACTTCTACCAAGCAAGACGTCAGCTAAGATCCGAAAGGCAGGCAGCTGAGGGCCTGTTGCAAATCTAATTCTTGTCAATCTTAAAGTATTACACACTTAGCTCTACTTTTTTTTAAATATGGGGAAAATAAAGTTTGAGGATAGTTTTCAAAATCTTATTATTTACTGGACAATGTGAAGAGGCAGAAAAGCCAGGCCCTCCCCACAAGCTTTGGAGAAAACGTCTTCATAATGATTTTTTTCTTCTTTTTCAACTTTAACTTTTACACTAGTACAGTATGTTTGTAGTGGATAATGGTTACACTCCTCATGGGACGTTAGACATCTTTTTACAACCCCTTTTTCTCCCCTCTTTGTCTCCTTCCCTTTTGCAAAAGTTCTTTTTTATTCCTACTTCCTATTCGCTACCTTTTATTTTATTCTATTCGGAGTTTGACATGTAAGCTTGTGTGTCTGATTTATCTCACTCGGCGTGGTCTCGGGGCACGCATCCCTTCCAGAGGATTCGGGTTTATGCTTTACAGCTGAGGAGTGCTCTATCAGTTTTCATTTTCATCTGCATACCGCGGTTTGGAGTCCATGGAGAGCTGCTTCAAGTAAGAAGGGACTGGGAACCTGCTCACCAGCGCTGGGCCCTTCCTGTCACTGGGCTTCCGGTGACCTCACCTAAACACAGAAATAACGATAGTAACAGTACTTTTGCAGGATCTGTGTGTTAAAACGAGAAAAAGCTTGTGAAAATACCTAACCTACTGGCTTCCTGAAAGACAGGAATGCTAGGCTACTACGCCTGCTTCCCAAGTTTCCGCATAGGTTAACTCCGTGACGTCTGAACACCGTTGCCAGTTCCCGTTCCGTGGGGAAGGGATCCGTGACAGCTGGAGGCTTTTTGGGGGTGCCTCGCCCCTGCTCTCCCCTCTTTCCTTCCCCTGGGCTGGCGGCAGAGGGTTTCCCTGATGCAGAGAGCAGGTGGTGTCACTGCCTGCAGCCTCTCAGGCCCCAGCGCTCTTTTCCGGGAAGGAGCGCAAGATTAAGTGAGGGGCGGTGATCGAGGTTTCTCCTTTGCGTCCAGCCGCCGGGTGTTGTTTGGGTCGTTCCCCTGCATCTCTGGTCACTGTTCACTGTATACTTTCAATGGCGTTGGGGGGACGGAACAGCGCGGCCTTTCCGCGGTGGTTCTAGAGGCTCGAGGTGGGAAGGAAACCCTGCAAGCTGGGCCACGCACGGGCGGTGGCTGCGCGGGATCCCCGGGGGGCAGGTGATTGACACCCACAAGTTGCGAAAGGCTGCTGGGGGAGGCTCGGTCCGGCGAGCGTCTGCGACTAGAAAAGGAGCGCCAGGTCCGCCCTGCCAGGAAGCGCGCCGGGGCGGCTCAGCCGGGCTGGGGAGGCGCGGGCGCAGGGCGTGCCCGGCCGGGCGGAGTCCGCTGCAGGTTTTCCCAGCCCAGCGGCTGCGAGGAGCTAGCTGGCCAGGGCCCCACAGGCTCCGCCGCTCCCTCCCGCCTCCTCCCCCTTCCCTGCCCACGGCCGGGGCGCCCCGCCCCTCGGCCTTATAGCTAGCGGGGCGGGCACCGCGGCGCCCGGAGCGGCGCCGTCTCTGGGGCCCCGATCGCCGGCCGCGTGCGGACGAGGAGCCGGCCGCGCGCCCCTCACCATGGAGCGCAGCCCGGGTCCGGGTCGGGTCGCCGCCACCCCAGGCCACCGCCAGCGCCCTACGCGCCCGCTCTCCCTGCCTGTGCGCTGCGGGCCCCGACGCGTCCGCACCTCGAAGCCGACATGAAGGAGCCCAGGGGCGACGGCGGGGGCGCCCCCTTCTGCACCCGCCTCAACCACTCGGACCCCGGCATGTGGGCGCCCGAGCGCTCGGCCGAGGCTCGGAGCAACCTGAGCCGAGCGCCGCCGGGGCCGGGCGAGGACTGCGGCTCCGTGTCAGTGGCTTTCCCCATCACCATGATGCTCACGGGCTTCGTGGGCAACGCGCTGGCCATGCTGCTCGTGTCGCGGAGCTACCGGCGCCGGGAGAGCAAGCGCAAGAAGTCCTTCCTGCTGTGCATCGGCTGGCTGGCGCTAACCGACCTGGTCGGCCAGCTGCTCACCAGCCCAGTGGTCATCGTCGTGTACCTGTCGCAGCAGCGCTGGGAGCAGCACGACCCGTCGGGCCGGCTGTGCACCTTCTTCGGCCTCACCATGACGGTCTTTGGGCTGTCCTCGCTCTTCATCGCCAGCGCCATGGCCGTCGAGCGCGCGCTGGCCATCCGCGCGCCGCACTGGTATGCGAGCCACATGAAGACGCGCGCCACGCGCGCCGTGCTGCTCGGCGTGTGGCTGGCCGGGCTCGCCTTTGCCCTGCTGCCGGTGCTGGGCGTGGGTCAGTACACTGTCCAGTGGCCTGGGACATGGTGCTTCATCAGCACCGCGCGAGGAGGCAACGGGACCGGCTCCTCCTCCGCGCCCAACAGGGGCAACCTCTTCTTCGCCTCCACCTTCGCCTTCCTGGGGCTCCTGGCGCTGACGGTCACCTTTACCTGCAACCTGGCCACCATTAAGGCCCTGGTGTCCCGCTGCCGGGCCAAAACGGCAGCGGCGCAGTCCAGCGCCCAGTGGGGCCGCATCACCACCGAGACGGCCATCCAGCTCATGGGCATCATGTGCGTGCTGTCGGTCTGCTGGTCGCCGCTCTTGGTAGGTGCTTCCGGGGCGCGCAGGGTCGCGGCGGGCTGGAAATGGGGACCGCGAGGAGCTGCTGCGCTGGCCAGACGTGTTTGGCACCTTGGAGTCTCACCGAGGCTGCTCTTTCCGCTGTGCTGGTCGCGCTCCCGGCGCCCTGAGGGCGGTCTATGTGCAAAGGGCCCTAGCCATGCACCGGTTGGTTGTGCGCGCCAAGCGACTCCAGGTCGACCACGCTCACTCTGGTCGAGGGAAGGCTAGGGATTGCCAGGTACCTGTGCGGTGCCTATGCACAGACACAAGTTTGTCCTGGGTGCAGAAGTAGCAGCAAAACGGGGAGATGACCACGATGGCCTGGCGCTGTGCGTTTTCTCGTTATTTCCAGTGTGTCTTATTCTACAGAGTTAAGGCGAGCAAATTGCATCTGCCAAAGTCCCATACCCGCGACCCGGGCGGGCACTGCAAGCATCACCCGCTGGCATCGTCGAGCCGCTGTAAGGCCTCAGGGAGCAGAGGGTGATCACCTTCCTCACTCCATGTACTCCTGGCTGGAGGCTAGAGAGGGAACCGTGCGCTCGGAGCAGCAGTGCGCTACAGGCCTGGAAGGGAGGCTGGCCCCTCAGGGACGCGCTCCAGGAGCCCGCAGCCAGTGACTCCCTCCTCCCCACTGCGTCTGCTTGCTCTTGTAGCCCTGCCGCACTGGGTAAGGGGCACCCTGCGGGTAGGAGATAAGGGGCTCCCCTCTTCCCAGCTTAGCACCCCAGCGCTCCACAGGGGAGCATGCTTGAGTGCCTCCTACCCCCTTTTTCTCAGGGTATTTTTTTTTTTTTTGAGGTTTTCTTCTGGGGCGTTTAAGCTCCAAAGTTGTGTGAGTACCTCCGTTTCCTGATTGCGGAAGAATGGGCGCTTACTTAGGATGCAGGCAGCGGAGCTAGGTAGACATTGCAGACAGAGCGCCCCAATTAGAGTCACAGCGCTCACTGATTGTATATTGGACTTGGAAACTTTCTATACAGTTGTGGACAACCTCTGAAACACAGGGAGGGAGTTTGCAAAATTCATCACATAGTTGTTTGATCAATTTGTAATAAAATATGCATAACATCAAAGTTGCTATTTTAACTAAGGTAAAAGAGTTCGGTGACTTTAAAGACATTGATTGACAGGCAGTGCTGTGCCCTGTTCAGTTTTTTGTCCTGAAGGACTGAGATGTATGTAGTTCCTTTCTCTCCCCTACGGTTGACAGCTGAATCCCTGTGTGTAAATAGGGAGAGACCTTTGAACACAAATCTTGGCTCCAGATCAGTGATGTGGACCCAGGAGGCGTCACGCTGGGAGGGAACTACCCACAAGTCCCCGTGTAGTGTAGTGGCAGCTCTGTGTTCTGTGAGCGGGAACTCGGAGTGATGTCATCATTTGGTTTATCACAACCAACACCAATTTTAGACATATTTACTTCTATGGTTGAGGAATGGAGTATCTTCGGTCAGACCAAAGATAAAAAGCTCTCAACATAACATTGGAATGAGGGTAACCTAACCGTAAAGGCAAAGGGAGTACATGAAGTTTCACAATTGTCATTTGAGCCCCACGCATTGAGTTTGCCATGCCACACTATTTACAACCTAAAAAATGCAGTCGAACCCTGTGAATAAAATGCTTGTCCGTGAAGTACAAATCACTTACATGTTTTATCGTTCATTTTGTTGTTGTTGTTTTAAAATAGGAGAGAAACTATGTTGTTTTCTATTTGGAAAATTTGGTTTAATAACATGAGTACAGTGGCCTCAGGAAGAATACAGGTTGATCTGAAAAGTTGTAAGTTAAGATGGCCAAACTCACTCTCTGCAAAAAAACTGTATTTAAAACTAATCTTACTGAATTTCAGTTTATATCCTTATTCAGGTAACATTTATTGACATGTAGCATTGTATCACTTTATTAATTTGCTTCTTAAAACATTAAGGGAATTCAACTTATGATCAAATCAAGGAGAGATTCACAATTGCAGTGTAGGTTTTTTTTTTTTCTTTTAAGGAACGGATTTCATCTTCTATTTTGTTCACCACTGAAATTAAATCTCCATGTATCTTCAGAAAGCTCTTGGCACAAAGTTGGCATTATTTCAGAAGAAGAAACCTATAAAACTGCTTTCTTAATAGGTTTGGGAACTACAAGAATGAAAACACTAGAACCCAGTGAATTAAAATTTTCAGTGTAACACTGTTAAAGTGAAAAATCACTTATTACACATTGTTAAACTATGAGTGCACTGTAGATTTCCTATTAGCTTTGGTTGAGTTGGGCATGAGATATTAATCTAGTTGTGCCAACTCCTTACTTGAGAGGGCCCTGGATATACCTTGTCTTGGAGAGAATTATGGCTGTAATACTAAGAAACTTAGGAGACCTGAGATACTATAGCAAGAAACATCCCACCTGCCACAAGTTCTTACTGTGTAGATACTTAGCCGGAAAGCTTCTGTATGTTCAAGCAAAAGCTTTTTTTTTCTTTTTCCTAGAAACTTTTGCAAAATACTAAGATACGAAATGAAGTAGGGGGTGATGAGGGATGAGACATGAAATTAAGAGGGAAATAATATTGCCATGGTAGATGATCTACATTTCTTAGTCACCGTTTATGTAAAGTGTCACATTACTATTCTGTTAGAATGAGCCGGAGGACTCAGTGATACAGACTCACTTATTATGGTTTTATTTTTCCATGAACTATGACCACCAAACAGTCCAGTTATTAGAAATAATGTCCAAGCTTTTAGAAATAGGAAGTCTTAGTTTAAAGGAAGCTCTGAGTATATTTCGTACTTTGGTAACCTGGCACCCCAAGACTGGTAATTCTGGGTAACACTGTAGCTGTCTTTAAAACCCTGCCTACTAAGTGAGCTATCAGCATTGTAAAAAGAGAGGTAGGAGAGACAGCTTCTTGTCCTCAGCATCGGAACAGGATGCAAGCAGCCTTGAAGGTATTTGCCTTTATTTTGAATCAGCAAATTCCATATTCAGTGTCTCCAACTACAAAAAGCTGTTCTCAAATAAGAAAAGACATTTCTCAACACAGTTGTGGTTTTCTTTTTAATTTAAGGAATCACTGATAGAGCTGAGTGGCATTTGTTTCTAATAAGCCACATGTAGTAGATACGTGATACACTATTTCACAGAAGTAATGCTCTTTTCCAGGATGTGATAGTACTCTTCAATTCCTGATCATCTCTGCCTGCTAATTTCTGCCATATTTAACATATTGCTTAAATGATTAAGCAAGTGAACTTGCCCTTTAGGAAAAGCTTTCTATAATCTCTTTTTGTAAAAGTTGAGATTCTTTCAAGTTCTTTCTGTTTTTATTTAGTACAGTTTTTTAACCCAGTCTTTATTTTGTTTGGTACTGGGATTTGAGCTCAGGACCTTGCACTTGCCAGGCAGGCACTGTGCTGATGAGCCATATCCCTGGCCCCACAGCACAATTTTTTGCAGGAGGACTCTCCAGTAGGTTCTGTTTTGATTCCTTTGTGCAGGGGTGGCGGTTCTGGGGATCAAACGCTGGGCAAGCCCTGAACCACGAAGCTCCAGCTCCAGCCCTAAATAGATTAAAAACTGGTTCAGGTGCTGCGATGGGTTTAGAGAAGCAGAATATCCACATTTATGAGTGAAACAGTTAAAGAACCATTATGCAACAGAGAATATAATTTATCCCTTTGACGTGCAGAACAAATTCCAAGAGAATTTGGAGTGAGCGTTGGGAAGGGGTGGGGTGCTTTGACTTGGCCTCATTATGACTTCAAGCCCCTCACCCCTCAGAAGCCAGCAGTGGGAACAGGGTGCTCCCAGGGCAGCCGGGGACTGGGACTTGAAAATGTTCACAGATTCAGGCTGAGGTCTTTGGCCCCTGAGCAGCAGCTTATGGATTCTGCTGCCTCGCCATAGGTGATAGAAGCTTGTTTAGGATTTTTTGAACAGGTACGAAAGTTGATGGGTGGGGCTGCAGGGTGTGGGTCGATGTAGGTGGAAATTGAGAAATGAAATCAGTTATGACTTGCTTTTGAGGGTGACTTGAGCCTCATAGTAGAGACAGTGGGGGAGATGTGTTGGAAAGAAAGGCAAGAGAATAATGATGCTTTTGGAAATGGTCAAGCTTAGGAGTGGTTCATAAAAAATAAAAAACTTTTTATTGAGCATCTCCTATTTCCCTATTCCCATTCACAAAAATCTTCCCGTGCATTACCTCATTTAATGGTACCATGTAAGATTGTCACTATTATTTACATAATTCAGAGGAAGAATATTAAACACAGATTTATATGTCAGGATATCTGACTTGGAGTTTCTTTTTAGTTGTGTTGTTTGTTTGTTTAGCTTAGAATTTAGCAATTCTAGTCTTAGCAGCACTGAGCAAGTTATACACACAGTATATAAATCCATAAAATACAGAGGCAGAGCTACTAGACATCCGGGATCTCATGAGTATTTTTTAAAATTCTTCTTGAGAATGAGAAACTCTCAATTGAATGAACCAAAGCAAGCAGTTCCCAGGGCATTGTTTGGCTATCATTGTCTAAGGGTGGGAGTCCTGAGTGGTGGGGGCTTTGGCCTTAGTACATATAAGGTGATTGTGTGAATGATGTATCCAGAAGCCAGAATAACTTAAAGATGAATGAGATAAATCACTGCTTAAAAATGCAGATATTTAATTTGGGGTTTATCAGACAGAGCCAAGAATTAAAAACTTCTGAAGCTGTCATCTTTGAGGAGATTCAGATGGTCTAGAGTTGTGGAATAAATATGACTCATTAGCCTTTCTCTTTGAAAAAAGCTGTAAAGGTCAATAACTCCATTATAAAAGTTTCCATAGGTTCAGTTTTCTGGGAATAACACTGAGGAATATGCACCGGAAGCATTTGTAGCTGGCTGCGGTGGGTCTGGGGATGATAAGAGGTAATACGAGTGTGCACTGTCAGTGTTTAGCTTTGCCTGTGCATCGCTGGGGAGTAGTGGTGGGA